ATCCCTGATGAATATAGATGCAAAAATTCTCAACAAAATACTAGCAAATCAAATCCAACAGTGCATTAAAAAAATCACTCATTGCAACCAAGTGGGATTCATTTCTGCGTTGCAAGAGAGGTTCAATATTCATGTATCAATCAATGTGATATGTCACATCAATAAAAGAAAGGACAAGAGCCATCTGATCATTTTAATAGATGTGAAGAAAGCATTTGACAAAGTACAACATCCATTCATGATAAAAACCCTCAACAAAGTAGGTTTAGAGAGAACATACCTCAACATAATAAAGGGCATATATGGGGTGCCTGGGTGGCTCAGTCGTTAGGCGTCTGCCTTTGGCTCAGGTCATGATCCCAGGGTCCTGGGATCGAGCCCCACATCGGGCTCCCTGCTCCGCGGAGGCCTGCTTCTCCCTCTCCCACTCCCCCTGCTTGTGTTCCTGCTCTCGCTGTGTGTCTGTCAAATAAATAAATAAAATCTTAAAAAAAAATAAAGGGCAAATATGAAAAACCCACAGCTAATATCATCTTCAATGCGGAAAAACTGAGAGCCTTTCCCCTAATGTCAGGAATAAGACAAGAATGTCCACTCAACACTTTTATTCAACATAGTACTGGAAGTCCTAGCCACCACAATCAGAAAATAAAAAGAAATAAAAGGCATCCAATCAGTAAGGAAGAAGTAAAACTTTCACTATTTGCAGAACATGATACCATATATAAAAAACCTGGAAGATTCCACCAAAAAACTGCTAGAACTGATAAACGCATTCAGTAAAGTCACAGGATACAAAATCTACAGCAATAATGAAGCAGCAAAAAGAGAAACTAAGAAAACAATCCTATTTATAATCACACCAAAAATAATAAGATATCTAGGAATAGACCTAATCAAAGAGGTGAAAGACCTGTACTCTGAAAACCCAGAAAACCCAGAAAAGGACCCACAATTATATAGTCAATTAATCTTGGACAAAGCAGGAAAGAATATCCAATGGGAAAAAGAGTATATCTTTAACAAATGATGTTGGGGACACTGGACAGCAACATGCAAAATAATGAAACTGGACCACTTTCTTACACCATATACCAAGATAAACTCAAAATGGATTAAAGACCTAAATGTGAGACCAGAAACCATAAAAATCCTAGAAGAGAACACAGGCAGTAACTTCTTTGAATCTGCCATAACAACTTCTTTCTAGATATGTCTTCTGAGGAAATGGAAACAAAAGCAAAAATAAACTATTGGGACTACATCAAAATAAAACCCTTCTGCACAGCCAAAGAAACAATCAACAAGACTAAAAGGCAACCTATAGAGTGGGAGAAGATATTTGCAAATGACATATCTGATAAAGGGTTAGTATGCAAGATACATAAAGAACTTATAAAACTCAATGCCCCCAAAACAAATAATCCAATTAAAAATGGGCAGAAGACACAAATAGACATTTTTCCAAAGAAGACATACAGATGGCTAACAGACACATGAAAAGATGCTCATCATCACTTATCATCAGGGAAATGCAAATCCAAACTACAGTGTGATATCACCTCACACCTATCAGAATGACTAAAATCAAAAACACAAGAAACAACAGGTGTTGGTGAGGATATGGAGAAAAAGGAACCCTCTTGCTCTGTTGGTGGGAATGCAAAATGGTGTGGAGGTTCCCCAAAAAGTTAAGAATAGAACTACCCTATGATCCAGCAATCACACTACTGGGTATTTACCTAAAGAATACAAAAACACTAATTCAAAGGGATACATGCACCCCAATGTTTATAGCAGGATTACTTACACTAGCCAAGATATGGAAGCAGCCCAAGTGTCCATTGATTGATGAATGGATAAAGAAGATGTGGTATATATCCACACAGTGGAATATTATTCAGCCATAAAAAAGCATGAAATCTTGCCATTTCCAATGACGTGGATGGAGCTAGACAGTATAATGCCAAGTGAAATAAGTCAGCCAAATACCATATGACAAATACCATATGAATTTCACTCATAAATGGAATTTAAGAAACAAAACAAATGAGCAAAGGGGAAAAAAAGAGACAAACCAAGAAACAGACTCTAACTATAGAGAACAAACTGATGGTTACCAGACAGGAGGCTGGTGGGGGAAAGGGTGAAAAAAGGGTGGGGATTAAGGAGTGCTCTTGTCGTGATGAGCACTGGATGATTAAAAAAAAAACTTGGAAAAAAATATAAATAAATGAATAAGTAAATAAAATGGGTGTACATATATGGGGGATTGCCCATATATGGGCATATGTACTAAGCATAGTACAAGGCACATAAGTGCTCAATGAATATTAGCTCTTATTATTCCTAACATTATTTTTTGATATACATATGTATTATGAAATGATTACCATAGTAAAATTAGTAACACATTCATCACCTCACACATTACCATTTTTTGTGTGTGGTGAGAACATTTAAGACTACTCTTTCAGCAACTGTCAAATATATGATATAGTATTGTTAATAATAGTCATCATACTGTACATTGGGTTCCCAGAACTTACTCATCCTATAACTGAAAGTTTTTACCCTTTGACCAACATCTCCCTATTTTCTCTCATACCTGCAGGCCCTGGCAACCATCACTCTACTCTGTTTCTATGAGCTCTTTTAGATTCTATATGGTATTTGTCTTTCTCTGCTTGATTTATTTCACTTAGCATAATACCCTGAAAATACATCCATGTTGTTGCAAATGGCAGGAGTTCCTTCTTTCTCACAGCCTGGATATTCCTGTGTGTGTGTGTGTGTGTGTGTGTGACACTTTTTAATCCATTCATCCATCAACAGACTTAGGTTGTTTCCATATTTTGGTTATTGTGAACAATGCTACAATAAACATGGGGATGCAGATATCTCAAGACAGTGGTTTCATTTCCTTTGGATATACACCAAGAAGTAGGACTGCTAAGTCATATGGTAGTTCTATTTTTAGTTTCTTGAGGAACCTTCATGTTTTCCATAATGGCTGTACCAGTTTACATTCCCACCAACAGTACACAAAGGGTTCCCTTGTTCACATCCTTGCCAATACTTATCTCTTGTCTTTTTTTTTTTTAAGATTTTTTATTTATTTGAGACAGAGAGAATGAGAGACAGAGAACATGAGAGGGAGGAGGGTCAGAGGGAGAAGCAGACTCCCTGCCGAGCAGGGAGCCCGATGCGGGACTCGATCCCGGGACTCCAGGATCATGACCTGAGCCAAAGGCAGTCGCTTAACCAACTGAGCCACCCAGGCGCCCTTATCTCTTGTCTTTTTGATGATAGTCATTCTAACAGGTGTGAAGGAATATCTTATTGTGGTTTGGATTTGCATTTCCCTGATGATTAGTGATGTTGAATGCCTTTATATGTACCTGTTGGTCATATGTCTTCTTTGGGAAAATGTCTGTTCAGGTCCTTTGCCCATTCTTTAAATAGGATTATTTGTTTTGTTGTTGTTGTTGTTGTTTTGCTATTGAGTTCTTTGAGTTCCTTATATATTTTGGAGATTAACCACTTATCAAATCCATAGTTCTCAAGTTTCTCCCATTTTGTAAGTTGTTTTTTCATTTGTTGATTACTTCTTTTGCTATGCAGCTTTTTAGTTGATGTAGTCTCACTTGTTTATTTTTTTGCCTTTGTTGCTTCTACTTTGGAGTTATATCTGAAAAATCATTGCCAAGACCAATGTCAAGGAGCTTTCCTCCTGTTTTCTTCTAGGAGTTTTATGTTTTGAGGTCTTACAATTAAGCCTTTAATCCATTGCGAGTTAAGTTTTGTGAGTGGATATCTGAACTTAAAAAAAAATCCATCTTGGACGTCCCTAACCATTTCACTCAGTTATTATCCAGCAAAATTATACCAAATAAATACCTTCTCTCTTGCAAGAATCACTATTTGTTGTTGTTGTTTTTTTAAGACTTTATTTGACAGAGAGGGAAAGAGAGCACAAGCAGGGGGAGCGGCAGGCAGAAGAAGGAGAAGCAGGCTCCCCGCTGAGCAAGGAGCCCGATGTGGGGCTCTATCCCAGGACCCTGAGATCATGACCTGAGCTGAAGGCAGCCCCTTAACCGACTGAGCTACCCAGGCGCCTCAAGAATCACTATTTGTTATAAGAACCTTTTTTAGAGTGGTAGCTTTATCCTATTCCTGTCTTTACCAAAGCCACTTTTGTGCTTAACTGTTCCCTCCTTCATCCGGACTCTCCCCAACCTTTGAGAAAACAACAGGCTTTCTAGGAAGGGATTCATTATTTCGTTCATTCATTCATGAAACAAATCTTTTCTGAGAACTTACTACACACCAAAGGCTAGGTAAGATGCAGAGGATGCAGTGAGGAGCAAACAAACAAAAACAATTTCGGGCTCCCAGTGTGAGGTGGGTCCCCACATCGCAGTTCAGAAAGGGAATGAATGCAAGGTCAAGACATGGGGGCATCTATCTCACCCAGCACCTCAGAAAACTTGACAGGGCCCTCCCAGGGACACAAGTCACTGCGCACTTCTTGGGAAGGCTTTGATATTGAGAGAGGATTTAGGTAAAATAAATGCAGAAAGGACGAGAGCGTCTGCAATTCAGGCAGAAAATAAGCAAACTCGGTTAAAACAAGCAAACAAGCAAAACTCTTCAAAGCAGCACACTCTGAAAGCTTCGCAGACTCTCCCCATCCTGGTCTGAGGAGTCACCAGGTGAATCTGGAGATAGGGCGGCGAACGTGGCCCCACTCCAGGTCTCGGGTGGCCGCGGGACACCAACTGGAGGCTGCGGGGCTGGGGGCCGCCCCGGAGCGTCCCACCGGCCGCTCTCCAGATCCCGAGCTTCTCAGCTGCGCCCTGGAACCGCGCTGCGGGGTGTGCGGCGGGGCGGGGGACGCCGGGCCTGGTCTGCAGGGCGAGGCGAGGCGAGGCGAGGCCGGGCCGGGCGGGGGTGGGGGCCACGCCTCGGCAGAGGCGGGCCGGGCCGAGCCTATTTGAGGCGCTGAGCCACCGCCCGGTCAGGGATCGCACCACCTCAGCAGAAGCCGCCCCCGCAGCAAGCGAGCGAGCGCCGAGGCGTCGGGTAAGTGGCGGGGCCGCGGGACGCGGAGGGAGCCCTCTGACGGCCCCGACCCGGCAGGGGCGAGGGCGCCCGGGCGGGGGCTGGGGGCTGGGGGCTTGCCGGACGGCGGGTGGGCGCGAAGAGGCGGGGGGTCGCGTGAGGAGCTGGGGGCACCGGGGCACTCGAGGCTTTGACCCCTCGAGAGAGCGCAGTCTGAGGCTCTGGGAAAGTTAGCGGCGCTTTACAAAGACTCACGCACTGATCCCGGGGCGGGGGATGAGGGGCGCGGGGCACCCTCCCCGGCGACTGGCAGCCTCGGCCACGGCGTCCCGCCCGCGAGCCGGGGGTGGGGGAGGGCGCGCTCAGCAACCCCAGCGGCCCGCCCCAGTGTGGGATTAGGAAGCGGGTCCTCCTTCCCTGGGCGCGGGGGGCCTGCCCAGGGACCCTGGAGGCAGCCCCTGCGCCCCTTGATTGGGCTGCGCGGCCGCTGGATTTGGCTGTGGGGCGCGCGCGAGCCCTCCTAGCAGGCCCGGCCGCGGTAGGGGCTGCCGCCGCTCTCTGGGTGCTGATCCCACAGAAAGTGGTGATGTCCCAGGGCCTGAGTGGGCATGCGTCTGGCTTGGCGAGCAGTGCACATCCAAACTTTTGCAAATCAGTGACTCATCCCTGCCCAGACTGGCTAATTTGGGCATTATCCCAGATCTGTGCTAAGGACGTGTAGGGTGTGGCAGAATGTTGGTCCGAAAATCGGGGGACAGCTTTTAAAACAGGTTTGAAGATGTATTCTGAATTATCAGGTGCTGAAATAAAAACACTATAATTTATCCACTCTGAGGAGTAGGAGCTGAACGGCAGAGAGTCAGAGACACGTACGGTGAGGCTGTGACTTCGGCTTCAGGCCCACCCCTTTAAGTTAGTGATTCCTAGTCCAGATACTGTGGAAGTTTTGTAAAGTGACTCCTGGGAGTTGGGTTGCTGGGCAGTGAAGACGGCTGAACCGCAGTGACCCAGTCTGTTTCTGGGATTCTGGGAAAGGAATGGAAGACAGTTCATCTGTGATCGTTGGGAGATGGGAACTGCTTCCTAACTTCATAATGTTCGGGGGTTACACTCAGAATCAGCACCTACTCCGTGTTCTGGGGAAAAGTTTGATGATGGTCTTTGAATGTTTTGAGCTTCAAAGTGCTAGAAGGTTACTCACCAGGTTACTTAAGTAGCAGAGGAGGGGGAACACTGCCTGATAGATTGACCCCCAAAGCTAGTTTTTTGCAGGCGTCCTTAAACAATGATGTTTCCCTGTGCTACAAGTATACATCAGTGCTTTGCTGTGAAGACTTCACTTATTGCTAGTGAGGTCAAGGGCCAATGCTGGTCTCACCTATAGTTTGGGTACCTACTTGCCTAGAACCTCATCAGCCAGACTCAACATCTTAACCGCAGAGACTTGCATGCATATATTATAACCTGAGCATGTCACATTGACCTTAAATACAGTTGGCTTGTGAGATTATTGTATCTGAGACTCATGGTTAACTGATCTAAAACATAGCCTCCCTTTCCTGTGATGGCTTGGGAAACAGGCTCCTGCTGAGGACAGCTGGGTTAACATTTGGTGTCTAGTGCCTGAACTGGTTCTTCTTCTTTTTTTTTTTTAAATTATTTTTTTAAGGATTTTTATTTATTTACTGAGAGAGAGAATGATAGAGATAGAGCATGAGAGGGAGGAGGGTCAGAGCGAGAAGCAGGCTCCCCGCTGAGCAGGGAGCCCGATGTGGGACTCGATCCCGGGACTCCAGGATCATGACCTGAGCCGAAGGCAGTTGCTTAACCAACTGAGCCACCCAGGCGCCCTGAACTGGTTCTTCTGATTAAATTCTCAGTGGTAAGCCTGCCAGAACAGTGCTTGCTGTAAACTTCCAGTGTGCTGCTGACTAAGTATCATGTGTTTGCTCTTGACTGATGTTCAGCTTTTCCATAGGGAGAAAACAGTCAGTAACTGAGAGGCACAAAGTAACTTTACCTTCCTTGATGCTGAGGAACTATGATAAGAAGGAAATCCTAGTAAAGAACCAGTTCCTTTATTACAACTCAGCATCACCGAATTTGGCTTTGCAAGGTAGACTTGTTTCAGCAAGGGCAGGAAGTTCTTTGCAGAGGAGTGTGGGCAGTGCCTTGGGGTTCTGAGGAAATGCATTCATGATCTACTTCTCTTTCAGCTTGTATAAAAGTCAGGGCCCTTTGTGAGCAGAAATTTCAGAAGTGCTCCTGGACTAATTGCTAGGTGGACCTAGAATAGCATAGTACAGTAGATAGCCACTCTTTATTAGAGGGGGAAAAAGCTATAATTAACAGCCAATTAAAAGGGTCTACATTCTGACTCATGTTTAAATTCTTTATTCCAAAGCAACACTGAACTACTTCCTGTAGGTTTTTCTAAATGTGAAGACTCAGGTAGTATTTCCTCAATTTTTTGTTTTGCTTTAATGTAGTGTTTCTTTTGTGGCGCTTCTAAATTCTCTGATTCTGGGAATGGCAGGATGGAGTTCACATATCTGTAGTATCTGTAAGGTGAGAAGATTTTTTTTACATTTGATTGTGTCTCTATATAAACTGTTCATCTAGAAGGAAGGAAAAAGAAAGAAAGAAGGAAGGAAGAAAGAAAGGAAGGAAGGAAGGAAGAAGAGGGAGGGAGGGAGGGAAATTTTCCAGGCAAATAAGAAAGATATTTATCCAAATACATTTTTTTTTAAAGTTCTAAGTTTGCTAACCTTGATTTCAAAAATGTATCAGTTATAATCTTTTTTTTTTTTCGTAAAAGAGAACTAATGGTTGAGAATGAACATATCAAAACAGTGCATACCTAATTTTTGGAGAAGTACACTTTATTGGTTTAAATGTGGTTATAATTAGCAAAGTGACTGTGCAAAATGGCATCGTTGTATTCAATACAGTGTGTATTGAAGCTTACTGAATGAGTCACCCAGCTAGTTTTCTGACAAAAACAGGATCTCTCTCTTTTTTTTTTTTTTTACAATTTCAACATGTTACATAGTTCTGAATGAATAAGTCAGAGAATTAATTTCTAAGTGAAGTAATTAACACTTTTAAAGGACTATACTTTAAAATTTCAAAGTGAGGTTTTACATTTAGTGTAAAATGAACCTGCATTAAGAGTGAGGATGCTTGGACCCTGGTTGTTGACCTGCCAAGAACAGAATGACTTTGGGCCACCATATTAGCTCTCTGAGTCTCAGTTTCCTTACCTCTAGAATGGGAATATTAACTTTCCCCTGAAAATCTTATAAGATCATTATCAGAATGAGAATAGGAAAAGTATGGGAAAGTGCTTCATAAACTGAAAAGCACCACATTAATGCAGGGTGTCATCATTCTAATGGGCTTGTCCAGTGTGTCACAACATGATGCAAACTGTCACCCAAGGCTTTATGTGAAACACAGTGGAAAGAAAGTGAAATCTGCTTTGTTTCTCAAATTGTTTTGGTTGGAGCTGAAAATAAGCTGAATATGCTTGAGCAGAGACTTTAAGAAGAAATGTTACATTTTGGAAATGCTGTTTTTGGTTTCTAGTTGTAATCAGCCTTTAAACACATGTTAGCTTGATTGGAGTTATGTTAATATGACACCTTATTAGGCCCATGGTACAGATTTAGCTAGTTTTAACTATTGAAACTAACTTTTTGGTTTTTATTGACCTGTGTATCTACACTTCTGGAGAGATACACATGCCGATCAGCCTAGACAAGTGTTTCTCAACCAGGCAAAATTTTGACCTCTCCCCCCACTCCCCGGAGTCCAGGATATGTGGCAACATCTGAAGACATTTTTGGTTGTCACAATTGGGAGGTGGGGTATTATGCTGCTGGCATCTTGTGCATTGAAGCCATGGATGCTGCTCTCCATCCTGTAATGCACAAGACAACTCCAACGGATGGTGAAAGTCTTTACAGAATAGGAATATTTAAGACAAGTCAAAACACTTATAAAGTTATAAGTCTGGGTCTTTGGTATGTTGTACAGGAATGGAAGAAGTTTGTGTAATCAAAGGAACTAAACTTTCTGCCCACCGTGAAGTTCAAGATTATTTCCTACTGGCCTCCAAAATGAGAGAGGCTTTGTTTTCTTAAGAAATGCCCTTTCTAGGGGCACCTGGGTGGCTCAGTTGGTTAAGCCTCTGTCTTCAGCTCAGGTCATGATCCTGGGGTCCTGGGATTGAGTCCCACATTGGGCTCCCTGCTCCCCGGGGTGTCTGCTTCTCCCTCTGCCTGTGCCCCTCCCCCGCCCCACTCTAGCGAGTGCTCTCTCGCACACACTTGCTCTCTCAAATAAATAAATAAAAATCTAAAAAATGAAAATGTCCTTTCTGGGGAACCTGGCTGGCTCAGTCGGTAGAGCATGCAACTCTCAATCTTGGGATTGTGAGTTTGAACCCCACATGAGGGTGTAGAAATTACTTAAACATAAAACCTTAAAAAAAAAAAGAAAGAAACATCCTTTCTTTTTTTTTTTTTTTAAAGATTTTATTTATTTACTTGAGAGAGAGAATGAGAGACAGAGAGCATGAGAGGGAGGAGGGTCAGAGGGAGAAGCAGACTCCCTGCCGAGCAGGGAGCCCAATGCGGGACTCAGTCCCGGGACTCAGGATCATGACCTGAGCCGAAGGCAGTTGCTCAACCAACTGAGCCACCCAAGCGCCCTCTTTTCCTTTTCTGGAACAATGCTTCTCTCAAGTTCCTCCTGCGGTGGCAGCACACTTTTCTAAGCAGCGGAAGCCTTTTGGGGAAGGAAGCACAAGCAGAGGAATACCTGACTTCTACTTTAAAAGATCAAATGCTATAGGAAATCCAGGAATGGAAGCCCTGGGAGAGTCACTGTGACTTCCCAGTCAAGTTGCCAGCAGTTTCCCATGTTAGAAGATGGATACGGTGATACCCTAAACTGCTTCCAAATATGTTTGAGAATGCCCAGATTTAAAAAAAGAGATGTGCAAAAAAAAAAAAAAAAAAACTTAATAGAAGGTAATATTTAACTGTGGTATAAATAACAGCAGAGTATGATAAAACATCTGATATGTATAAATGGAGGACATTAAGTCCTAAGAGGAGTTCTGCCTATTTTTTTTTAACCAAAAACTCTAATATTTTAGATTTTTAGGACCTATCAATTAGGATCCCTTGGGGGTAATGTCACTTCTTAAATAATTTAGTAAATATCACAAGTGGGCAACTCAAGGGAAAAGAGATTCTGATTGTTTAAGATCCAGGTCACTTTGGCTATAGGACTGGTGATCCTGACGCAAGAAAACTCACTCAGACCTCACGAGTCCAAAGCTACCCTCTTCCCCTCACTGCCAGAGCACCTGCAAGTGGGAGCAGGTGTAAAACATCTTAAATGGTTAGAAACTTGACATAGGGAAAGGAGCAGGAGAAAGAAGGAATGATGTGTCAAGGCCACCCCTGGAGTCAGCTTTGGGCAAAGCCAACTCTCTTTGGTAGCATCCTACCCAAAAATATTTTCCTCCACATTGCCTGACTACTTTTCTTTTCTATTTTCTTTTCTTTTCCTTAAACCCTAGTTTGTTATACTGCCGGAGTTTCGTTTGGAGTAACAAATATCTTAAAAAAAAAGAAAAAAAAAGCATCTTATACCTGTCTTTTCTCTTTATTGCTCCACATCTGGATCTCACCTCTCCTTTAAGGCTTAGCTCGAACACCACCACCTCGTCCCCTCTTAGAAGTAATAGTTCTAGTTGTGACTCCCCATCACCCAGTCTGGCTCACAGCGTCGATCCCTTGTGATTCCTGCTGGCCTGTGAGCCCTTTGACCATACAGATCTCGGCCTATCCATCTTCCAACCCAGGCAAGAGGTCACACAGTGCCTGGCCCAGAGCAGTCATAAATATGTGCAAATGAGGAAATAAATAATTGGCAGCAACTGCATCTAGGGGCATTGGTTTCAAATCTCAGTAGGAATCAGTCAACTCTGCTTTCCTGCTAAAACGCAGAAGAGGGCATGGGGGTTGATCTTAGGAACAGCAGGGGAGGTGGGTGATATGAAGAGACTAAACCCTTTGTAAGAGGTGGTGGAAACAGCGCCCAGGAAGGAAGATGAGGAGGACCACAGATGAACCAGGGCTGTTTGTGTCTTTACCAAGGAAAGGGGAAGAACGTTACCTTCTTTGTTCTTCTCTCTCCTGTGTTGTTTGGCCTGTTACTCCCAGGATTCAGAACACAGGCTAGTATGATTAGAGTTTAAAATTATGAGTTAAATAGGGCTTGGTGATGTAGCTGGAGTGCATCCCTGCTAGGGCTGGTTTTGTGGTTCCACACTATTGATTTAGGTGTATTTGGGGAATAAACTGGCTTGGTTAGAAGAATGCCTGTAGATCATCTAGAACTGCCCAATGAACTATTTGTGATGTTATGTTAATATGGAAACTGGTGAAATCTAGGATCAAATGATAACCTATCTTTTTTTTCCCCTTTCAGGAAAATGGCAGACAGTTTTTCAGTAAGTATTTTATGTCTGTTTTTTTTTTACCATAATATACATTTCATGTAGGTTGGGGGCTTTCTTCTTTACCACCAAACATCTCCTTCTAATTCTCTCACCCTGTGGCTTCCTCTGGCCTTAACTGACCAATGAGACCTTGTTAGCTGAAGTCTTGTTTTTCCAGCCATAGGTTCAGGAAGAAAGCCAGGCAGATAGAGGCCTGGGACTCACTAACAGTAACCCCCCTACTGAAAAGCCTGGGACAGAAACAGGTGGATTCCATGGGCAGGAGCTGAGAAATAATATGAGCAAAGGGAAGTGTGGTGTAGTCTGAGCATCCTGATTTCTGTGATTGTTCTTCTCCTGTCAGTTAGAGAGGATATGCTTTTACATAGAGGAAGGCTAGCTCCCAACTTTGGCAAATTATAAAAAGCAACCCTCCATGATCTCAGATGATGGGAAGCAAGAATAAAGGGAGGCAGGAGATGCAGCAGCTGTCCAGATGCCCCGTGAGGCATAAAGGAGCAGGGAGCTACCCCGGCTTCTCCCTTCTTCCCATTCTTTAATTTCCTGCCAATGCTGCCCCTTAGCCAGACTCATCTGGAAGCCTGGAAACCACCATCTGCAGGGGTTAGATTCCTTGTGATCAGCACAAGGCAAAGAGAAGGATGGATTTGACCAGTACATTGCCACATTGGGAATATGGCAGGACTGACTCTTTGCTGTCAAACATGGAACTCATTGAACTGTGGGAACTCAGGCCCATCACCCTGACCACCTACTGTAGGGCATCTTTTCATCTGAACCATGCAGTTGCTTGACTGTGATAAGCCATGATCAAAAAAAAAAAAAACCCCAAAAAACAAAAAAACACAGATAAGGCAAGTACAGGCCTATATCTGAAACCACTGTGTGTGGCCATGTATCTGTTGTGGCTGCCAGGGGCAGGCTTGTGGTTCTGCTAAAGGTTAGAAATGGGACTGGAAGCCCTTTGAAAGCCACTAAGAAGGGGGCCACACCTTCCAGAAATCCTCCTCTGGAATGGTCTTGTGAAACCAGGATGGGGACTCTTATTAAGCCATCCTTGTTCTTTGCAAGGAAAAGTCTATGCCATTGGATAGTTGTATTAACTTTACCATGTAATTAATATATTGACCCTATATGGCCAAGAAAATATAACAATCCTTATTAGAATTACAATCCATCAATAAAATGCACTCTTTATGGTAAGACAATTCATGTTGAGAACCGTAAATTGCTTTACTTATCATTTTCTATATGGCTCTCCTCCTCCCCATACAGACAGTAAGCAATCTGGAATCCCACTTACTTAATGGCATGATCTGGCCTTTTAAGAAAAATAAACTTTGAAATTTTACAATAGTTTTAGATTTACAAAAAATTGCAAAGATAGTACCAAGAGTTCCCACATACCCTACACCCACTTTCCTCTATTATTAACGTCTTACATTAGTATGGTACATTTGTTACCATTAATAAACCAGTACTGATACATTATTTACTAAAAAAAAAAAAGAATAAAGTGATGAAGCATATATAATCCCAAAGCCTAATTTTAGTCTTAGGAACTGCAAACTATTTAATAGGTGGAAAAATTTTTATTGATTTGAATTTCATACCCTTACCATATCCCTCTACTTCTTAGATCACATATTCCTGTTTTCCTGAAAATTCTGTTTTTGTGAATGTTTTTCATCCTGTAATTGTTGATGTCTTTCTTTCCAGCTTAATGATGCTTTATCTGGGTCTGGAAACCCAAACCCTCAAGGATGGCCTGGTCCATGGGGAAACCAGCCTGCTGGAGGCTACCCAGGGGCCTCCTATCCTGGTGCCTACCCTGGACAGGCCCCTCCTGGTAGCTACCCTGGACAGGCCCCTCCTGGCGGCTATCCTGGTCAGGCCCCTCCAGGAGCCTACCCTGGACAGGTCCCTCCTGGCGGCTATCCTGGCCAGGCCCCTCCTGGTGCCTATCCTGGTCAGGCACCTCCAGGAGCCTACCCTGGCCCAACAGCACCTGCTTATCCTGGACCATCTGCACCAGGAGCCCACCCTGGGCAACCGAGTGGGCCTGGGGCCTACCCACCTCCTGGACAGCCAAGTGCTCCTGGAGCCCACCCTGCTGCTGGCCCTTTTGGCATCCCTGCTGGACCACTGGTAAGATGGAACTAGGCATTTCATAGACTTGATTGTGATCAGGACAAAGCTAATGAAGAACCAACACACTAATTGTCTGGAGTGTTGGTGCCATTACTTTGCTGTGCTCTGGCTGGGAGCTGGCTCTGGGCACCAACCTGCAAAGGACTTCAGAGAGACCTGAAGCTTTAAACTCGCTGGTTAGAGCCACTTTTCAAGGACCAGCCATGGTGTATGTCAGCCCAATAGAAAAAATCATTGTTTGAAACTGAGGGTTGCTGGAGTGGGGGGTGGGGTGGGAGGGATGGGGTGGCTGGGTGATAGACACCGGGGAGGGTATGTGCTATGGTGAGCGCTGTGGATTGTGCAAGACTGTTGAATCTCAGATCTGTACCTCTGAAACAAATAATGCAATATATGTTAAGAAAAAAAAAAGAAGAAGAAGAAGATAGCAGGAGGGGAAGAATGAAGGGGGGAAATTGGAGGGGGAGACAAACCATGAGAGACGACAGACTCTGAGAAACAAACTGAGGGTTCTAGAGGGGAGGGGGTGGGGGGATGGGTTAGCCTGGTGGTGGGTATTGAGGAGGGCACGTTCTGCATGGAGCACTGGGTGTTATGTACAAACAATGAATCATGGATCACTACATCAAAAACTAATGATGTAATGTATGGTGACTAACATAACAATAAAAAATTTTAAAAAAAAGAAAAAATCATTGTTTGTATTGAGTTTAGTATGGGAACTGTTAGTATAAAGAGAAGTCAGTATATCTTTTGAAGACATCTGTAAAGCAGCTTTAATATAAATGAAGTTAAGATCATAGTAATGGGGGAACATTTTGGTTACCATTATTAATAAACACTGAGCACATAACATGCGCCAGCAGTGTGCTTCTACATGGATGATTTCATTTAACCCTATATCCGCCCCATAAGCTACTGTTATTGTCCCTACTTTACACACGAGGAAAGGGAACAAGAGAGAGTTATACAGCTTGCCTGGGGTCATAGAAGGAACATGTAGGGAAACCAAGGTAATGTTTTTCTCCCAGACGTGCCTTTAGGTTTTGAGGCATCTGTAGGAAATTCAGATAGGAGGAGGTTTGGGGCCCAAGAGAAAAGACTTGGCTGGTGGTTGAACACAGGGGGAAGAAATTATGAAGGGAAGAGAGAAGAGGCCAAAGGGAGTTTTGGGAATATTTACAGCACCTTGAACCTAGATGGTTAATACATTTTTGTGGAAGAACTAGGGAATGTATTAAATGAAAAGTGTTCATTCCACAAATACTTAGTATCTGCCACATTCAGAGCCTCCTGTTGATGCCATGTAAGTAGAACTTATAAGAACTCACAAGTTCCCGATGCGACACAATGCTTGCCCTCAGGGAGCAAAATGACCATGATGAAGTATGTTATGTGACCAGGTTCTTAAAAGTGGCACACAGTTGTACAGCTAAAACCAATACAATTATATCTCAATAAAAGTAATTTTTAAAAAAGAAGAGTGGCACAAAAATGTTAATGTTGATTGCAAGGTCTAGCCTAAGCCTTTCCGAAAAATAGTCCAAGTAAATGAATTATAGATTGGGATGACCTTAGTAATGAGAGATACAGTGGTCCAAAAGGGAATATGTTCTGTCTTTGGCACCAATTAACTGATGGCTTTCTTCTTCTCTTTTTTAAAAGATTTATTTATTTATTTATTTGAGAGAGAGAAAGTGAGTGAGAGAGAGAGAGAGCACAAGCAGGGGGAGGGGCAGAGACAGAGGGAGAAGCAGACTTCTTGTTGAGCAGGGAGCCCGAGCAGGGAGGCAGATGCTTAACTGAGCCACCCAGGCACCCCTTGATGGCTTTATTCTTGATTATTACTTGTGCAGATAGGAAGCCTTATCCTTTCAGGCCCTGGGCAGGGTGACCAGAGAGTCTGGAAAAATGGTTTAATTAGGGTTATGTGTTAGTCACATTAGCAACATATTTTTATTTCTTTCCCCAAGAAGACATGACTCTTTATTGTTATGTATATGTTTTTTATTCCCAGACCGTGCCTTATGACCTGCCTTTGCCTGGAGGAATCATGCCGCGCATGCTGATAACAATTCTGGGCACAGTAAAGCCCAATGCAAACAGGTAAAGAACAATATTAGCAACTCTAACATATTTGTCAATTGGTTTTTGAGTAAAGGATGATCTATTTCGAATTTTAATAAAATTTTTAAAACTATGCATTGAGAATTCTATACCATAGAATGGGATTATCCTAAAAATCAGTGTGTGTCCACCAAGGGGATAAAGTGTCCCTCACTAAATCTTGTTTTTCTCCCAGAACCACAATGAAACAGTTCTACTTTTTTTTTTTAAGACTTTATTTATTTGAGAGAGAGAGAGCATGAGCATGAGCGGGGGGGGGGCAGAGGGAGAGGGGGAAGCAGGCTCCCCATTGAGCAGGGAGCCCCATGCAGGGCTCAATCCCAGGACCCTGGGATCATGACCTGGACTAAAGGCAGACGCTTAACTGACTGAGCCACCCAGGCACCTGGAAACAATTCTGCTTTGTGAGGACAGAGAGAAAGAGCGGACAACCCATACAGAAAAACCTAGGTTCTTCCTGGCAGTGAGAACCTTAGAATTTAAGGGAAGGACAGCCTTTGTAATGTAATGCTTGGCCATCTCTCCACCTCTGAGCCATATCTTGTCTAAAAAAACAAGCATGCACTTTGTATTTAGATGACCATCAAAAATTAGGGTCAGAAACACAAAGATCGCACTGGACGTCATTTTGAGTTGATCTGAGAGCTTGCACATCATACCACTCTCTCCTCATATTTGGACAGATCACCCTGCAGTCGTGAAGGTCACAGTGCAGTCTCAGATCTGGTGAGCTTGACCTCCCTTTCCGCCTTCCTACTGGGCACATCAGCAGAGTCACAGATTCCCATGGGGTCAGCCAGGTCTACGGATGTTAAGTGGCGGGATGGGGGAACCCCAGTCTTCTGAGTATATACAATTTACATAAAGATTTGAAAAGATCCTACAAGTTAAAGACTTCCTCAAAAGAAGTCAACCTTTGCCATTGGAACTGGTTTGATAGAGGTGAGCTAAGATGGAGTGAGCCTCTGAGCTAATTTAGGAAAAGCCGTGCTGACTTATGGCTGCCTTGGGATGCCTGGGTCTGTTATCACCGTTGGTTTTATTTCCATGTAATACAAGCAGGTTAACGATATCCTGAAGACATCCAGTATGCCTGTCCCTGAGGTTGGTGGTACCATTAAAGCCCCTGCTGCAGCCATAAATTAATCCGTGTTTTGGGGTTTTATAGACAGTGCACAAAAGGTACAAATTCAAGCTATGTACACAGGTTTACAAGAATCCATAAACAACCTGTGTCTGTCACCTTGCTCCTGGTGGATCAGTGGGAACCCCCTCTTCTGTTACCAGGAAATGGACTCAGCCTCTGATATAGGCATTTTACATTCAGCCAGCCCATTCACGCGTACCTCCAGCCAGCCTTCTCTGGTTCTGTGTGGTAGCCAGTACCCTAAGCCCGTTCTTTCCACACAGCCTATACAGCTTCTCTAAACACAGTGCTTACCTGCACAATAAAGCTCGTCTCACAGCCCATTACAAAATGTATATATCCCCTGCCTATGCCCTTATCCATCTTTCCTCCCCAAATAACATAGAACCCAGCACACCTGAGCCTGGGCACGATTTGTGAGTATCTGCTCTCCTCCCTTAGCCACGGTCATACAGAACCACACTGGTGTGTTTGCCTTATTGAGTGTTTTTGCACTAGAAACTTTATCTCCAGTAACACTAGAGGTGTAGACAGAGACTGTGGCAGATTAACACTCATTTTGGTGGAAATGGGTAAGATGGTAGTAAACTGAAAAAATGGTTGCTTCATTCTGCAAAATCTTTGTGAGGAATTACCTGACAAAAAAAGAATGCTTAAAGTGGTAGAGATGGCAAGATCTTCCTTTTCACTGTAGAGAAAAATACAGCCATTGGATTTTTTTGGTCAAATACAAATGCTATTGTCATCTGATTATATTGGTCCTCTCCCTGGGCATTTAATTATTGGAAGATACATTTGTGGTTTTATGTGTCTGTTAATGGGTAAATGAAAATGCTCAAGGAATCATTGTTAATAAGTCTAGGGTGTAGACCTTGCTTTCAAACAAGAGTCCCGGTTGATTCTGATGTTAGTGCTCCAGGGAGCACACTTTGAGAAACTGAGAGATAGTGTTAATACTTTAACAGTCCAAGGCCTTGTGTTTGCATTAACATCCAAGGAGAAGGAACAAGGTCAAAAATTTAAGCCGGCACTTCCATTAATTCACATCAGGGAATGTTTAACACATTTATTGCCATGACGTTACAACTTAGCAACAGGACACTGAACATTATGTTATCTCATTCCTGTTATTTTAGGACTAGGTTTTTGGTTAACTGTAAGGAAGCCAGGTATTTGGTAACTTCTATTGATGTGACTGACTTGCCTTTAATAGGTATTAAAAGTAACTGGCAGGGCAGGAAAGAGGTAAGCATTATTATTTGCCATGTACAGCATAAAGTGCCCTCAAAGTGGCCCTAAACTTCTATAAGGAAACCTTGACGAGTTTTCATAGTAGAGGCAGTTAAAGAGGGAATGACAGCTGAATGGAGTGATGTGACCAAAGACAAGGAGGCAAAAAAATGGAACACATACTACCTTGCTTACTTTCAGATACTACAAGAATACATCAAATACTAGGCCTCGTATACTTTCCAGTTTGAAGACATACTCTGGTTTGTTTGCTTCCGTTTGAAAATGTTCCTGTATTTTATAAAAAATGATTGGATCTTTAGAAAATTGTATGTTCTTCACTTGATACAAATGTACAGCTTGAATCATTTTACTAACTCTGGTCTTTGGTTTAAAACAGACTTGCTTTAGATTTCAAGAGAGGGAATGATGTTGCTTTCCACTTTAACCCACGCTTCAGTGAGGACAACAAGAGAGTCATTGTTTGCAATACAAAGCTGGATAACATCTGGGGAAAGGAAGAAAGACAGGCAACTTTCCCATTTGAAAGTGGTAAACCATTTAAAGTAAGTTATTGCTACTATTATATATTGATAATGGATATTTCTCATGGGAATCACTCTTATAACCATAAGGCACTTGAAAAGAATTTATCCGCTATCCTGGGACACCTAACGGGTACATCTGCTCCCCATCCCAGGGATGTAATAATGTAATAATGGTCCTTATAAATCTTTGCTTCCTAGAACAAGAATTTTATTCCAAGAAGTACATATTTTTTAAAAGATTTTGTTTGAGACACAGAGAGAGAGAAAAACACAAGCGGGGGGTGGGGGTACGGGCAGAGGGGGAAGAAGACTCCCCACTGAGCAGGGAGCCCGATGCGGGACTCGATCCCAGGACCCTGAGATCATGACCAGAGCCAAAGGCAGACGCTTAACTGACTGAGCCACCCAGGCGCCCCTCAAGAATATACATATTTAAAATTTAGATAAGATATTGCCAAAGTGCTGCTTCCAAAATGCTGTAAGGATAAACATGTTCACTACTACCTGTTGGAAGAGTGTTTCCCCTACTCTGGCCCAAACTGGTTATTATCAATTTTCACAACATTTGCCACTCTGCAGAGGATTCCTACTTTAGTATTCTACTTTCATTTATTTATTGAAGTACAGCTAACACAGGATGTTGCATTAGTTTCAGGTGTACAACATAGAGATCATCATCTCTTTGTTATGCTATGCTTACATCGGTCACTATACAACACTATCACAATACCACTGACTATATTCCCTATGCTCATAGTGCCTTTTACCCCATGACTTACATCCCATAACTGGAAGCCTGTACCTCCCACTCCCCTTCAGCCATTTTGCCCATCCCTGTACCCGCCTCCCCTCTGGCACCATCAGTTTGTTCTTTGTATTTATGGGTTTGTTTCTGCTTTTTGTTCATCTATTTCTTTGATTTTTTTTTAGAGTCCACATATAAGTAAAATCATGGAATTTGTCTCTCTTTCTGACTTACTTCATTTAGCATAATATCCTGTAGGTCTATCCATGTTGTTGCAAGTGGCAAAATCTCATTTTTATGGCTGAGTAATATCCCATTGCGTGTGTGTGTGTGTGTGTGTGGTATATGTGTAGATACCACATCTTCTTTATCTATTTGTCTATGGATCCACACTTGCATTGCTTCCATATCTTGGCTATTATAAATAATGCTGCAGTAAACATAGGGTTGCGTATATCTTCTCAAACTAGCGTTTTCATTTTCTTTGGGTACTTACCCAGTAGTGGAATTACTAGATCATATAGTATTTCTATCTTTAATTTTTTGAGGAACCTCCATACTGTTTTCCAAAGTGGCTGCACCAATTTACATTCCCACCAACAATGCGTGAGTGTTCCTTTTTCTCTACGTCTTCGCCAGCACTTGGTGTGTTTATATTTTTACTTTTAGGTGTTAGCCATACAAAAACTTTGTTTTTATGGAGACACATTATTAATCTTTACCTTTATAGCTTCACCTTATCTTTATCATCTGTTATCTTTTTTTCATTTTGCTTGAATCTTTGAATAATCTGTGGAGTTTATTTTTGCTGCAAAATTCTTTTTTGTTTTTTTTTTTTTATTTGAGAGAGAAGAGAGAGAGCACAAGCAGGGGTTAGGGGCAGTGGGAGAGAGAGAAGCAGGCTCCCCACTGAGCAAGGAACCTGACGTGGGACTTGATCCCAGGACCCTGGGATCATGACCTGAGCTGAAGGCAGACACTTAACAACTAAGCCATGCAGGCGCCCCCAAAGTTCCTTTCTTGGAACTTCAGTCAGTTCCACAGATGATCATAAAGATGAAATGTGGGACATTCTCAGCTCAGGCCAGACTGGTTTTGAAATTAATGAGCATTTCTAACAGTTTTGTGTATGTGCCATTTCAGATACAAGTGCTGGTTGAATCTGACCACTTCAAGGTTGCGGTCAATGATGCTCACTTGTTGCAGTACAATCATCGGATGAAAAATCTCCAGGAAATCAGCAAACTGGGAATTTCTGGTGACATAGATCTCACCAGTGCTTCACATGCTATGATATAATCATAAAGGGGAAGATTTAAAAAAAAATGAAATTGAATATAAACCCTTACACATTGAAACTTCATGTTTCCTGACTGAAAAATTTTACCTTTATTCATCACTGTCCGTCTTGTAAATCATCCATTTAATAAACATTCTAAGAGTTTCCTGTCTTTATATGTCATTGAATTGGGGCAATTTATTCTTGATAATGCACAATGGACTCAGTGAAAAAGGAATATGTAGCAATATTAATTCTACATTAGTCTCCCAGAGTTTTCTATACTTATTACTTTTAAAGAAAATACTATTTTAACCTCTGTCTTTCAGAGTTTCATAAAAACCAGAAGATGCTACAAGGAAATCATTCCCCCATTTTCTTACTTAAGGAAGTATATATTCAGGATATGAGAAAAGCACAAAGAAAAAGTGTAGCTGTTGATGATCCACAGGCAGTTACTGTTAGCATTCTGGTATATTTCTTTTTGCTCCTTTTAACTATTTTTTCTCTCTAGACTATACTTAGCTGTTTTCAAATCCATATTTGATACCAATATGAGACAATCTTGCTGTAGGTTCTCCTGGTTTTTATGAAATCTCCATCATATTTATAGAGGAAAATTAAGCTCTTAATTAGATATATCATCAGCTTGAAAAATTTAATAGTTCCCATTGCCAACATTCTTAACCATGCCTTTCTGCCCTTCCTCATTACCAGCAGGCCCAAAGATTCATACAATTTCAAAACTAGGATGTAGTCATAGCACTTCACTTTATAAAAGAATCAAAATATTGTTTGGTCTATTTATTGTTTCTATAACACCATCTTCTCAGATACTTTTATTGTCACAAGTTGGGTTCCCCAGGAAGCAGAGATTAGAACCCAAGAGGTTTAGGGGGAAGAATCTTGAGATCAACAGCTGTTGGGATGAGAAGGCATAGGATCGGGCAGAGGGAGAAGTTGGGTATCGATGCCTCAGCCCACCCTACAGGGGTTCTGAAGCTGGGATGATCCTTTGGAGCTGTTAAGAGGGGGGACAGTCCTTTCTGTCTTCACTTCAATCAGTCAACGAATACAAGCCACCTGAGAAACGGTATGACCTCGGGAGGAGCGGCTGTCTTCCCCTGAGGTAGTTGTCACATGGGAATGATATCTGAAAGCCATCTAACAGCACTTGTAGCAATTAAAAAGACTTTCAGTCCTAAAGAGGGATGTGAGCAGTTTATTTCAAAAAACTATGTTACTTCCTTACTCCAACATTCTCATCTTGACTCTTCCACACCTATGATTAAGTGGAAAAACATAAGCTATGATAAAAAGGGGGAACTTGGGTTACACAAAATTATTTAAATCCTGAGCCTTGGTTCCTTTGTCTATAAAATGGTGGTATAATACACCTTTTGTAGGGTTACTGTGATCATTGAATAAATATTGTTTACAAAGGGCTTGCCATATAGGAGGTCCTCAACAAATGGAAATTTTTTTTTGTTTCATTTTTGGAAAGGCATTTGTTCTGCGAAGCAATAGTCTTTCCTGTATCTTTAAAGATTTTTCTAAAACCTCGTAATTCTAGAGTCCAATAGCCTAAGAACACTATCTAGATGTAGGGTATACTGATGGCTGCTTAGCCATCCATTCCCTATTTCCTAATAGTTATGGTTTTATTCAAGTATAATCCTAGATAAAATAAGGGATCCTGATTAAAGACCATATCAAATGGATAGTCAAAATATCCCCACTTCCCTCAAGAAACACTATCATATCTAAAACACACTTTGATGAACACTGAATATTAAAACATTTTATGACACTATATAAATTGATTGAATAGAAGTGAACACAAATACATACTCTTCAATTTTCAACACACTAACAATATATGTGACCCCAAAAGGATCCAACCACGGAGAAGCCAACGGCAAGGATGACAGAAACTATGAATGTAATTTTGGACCTTGATACCATCATGGAGCTGTTGATTGGAAAGTGCTTGGAATCACCCTGGCAACTTGTGCAAATAATAAACTTCCCTGTTATTAAGCCAGTTTGAGTTCACTCTACTATCACTAAACAGACAAAAGTTCTCTGAACAAGTCAACAGTACATCTTATTAAACCCACAAAAAATCATGTTTACTGACACTGTTTTTATTCTCATTTGCTATATCCTTGAGGGCAAATATTATTTTATTGTTTTGTTGTATATTGCTTTATCTATATTCTAAGTCTTTGGGTTTCTCTGCACCAACTTCTTTTGCATGCTCATATGCATGGGCCCTTAGAAAACCCTAACTTTTACGTATGTTTCTTTGTTCTGCATGGCTTGCTTGAATTATTCATTAATGGGCTGTTAAAGCTGCTTTTATCTTTTGGTAAGATTAGGTATTCTGAGAACATTCTTCTAAGCCAGCACCTCACATAGCCTAACTGCTCATATGGGCTTGATAATACTATCTTTCCCACAAGCCTAACATACCTTTCTCTGACAACAAAAGTGGATGTGTCTTCTTTTCTTTTTGAAAACCTCTAATCTTACACGTTTATAAAGCTGCTGCTTGTTTGGTGAATGCCTCCAACCCTAACTCATTTAGAGGTAGAAATAACTGGACCCAGGTCTGGTTATAAGCGTTAGCTTCTACGAGTCTTCTTGGTGCTATTATGGCCCTGTCTTCTACAATCCTATAATTAAGAGTTTTATAAAAGAGAAAATATTTCAAACACATTAAGTGATTGATACAATTCTTTTCAAGGGAAGAAGGCATTTCCTTCTAAGGCTGTCAGTTTTGTCAAGGGGAAAATGAAAAGAAAAAGGCAAAGATTTAATGGGCCCCTCTAACCGTTTAACTGTTTGAAACTGCAGCATGTAAACAACTTCAGATTCCAGAAAGCTCATTTAAAGAAACTCAGTATAGGGGCACCTGGGTGGCTCAGTCGTTAAGAGTCTGCCTTCAGCTCATGGCATGATCCCGGGGTCCTGGGATCAAGCCCCACATCGGGCTCCCTGCTCAGCAGGAAGCCTGCTTCTCCCTCTCCCACTCCCCCTGCTTGTGTTCCCTCTCTCGCTGTGTCTCTCTCTGTCAAATAAATAAAATCTTTAAAAAAAAAAAAAAGAAACTCAGTATACTCTGAAAAATGCAATATGCAAAGCTGTTCAATATCAACAAATTTAAGAGTCCAAACTAAGAGAGTATAAAAAGATGCAAATATTTCTGTCAAAGTTTAATACTATATTTTGATTAAACTGAAGAATGTTCATATGCTCTAAGTACACTTAGCTTTAAGTTTATACATTTTAAACAAGAGAGGTGAGGTAAAGTACACTTTTTATTCTGCATAGTTAATGTACAAAATATCCCCACTTCCCTCGAGAAACACTATCATATCTAAAACACACTTCGATGAACACTGAATATTAAAACATTTTATGACACTATATAAATTAACTAGAAGTGAACACAAATACATACTCTTCAATTTTCAATATGCTAACAATATATCACATTGATAATATGAAGAAAAATATGTGGATTTATTTTTAAATTCAAAATTCTTCTGGTTGTTCATCATGGAGGGGCCTTAGAGGTGAAAAGGTAATCAAGTTACCACCAAAGGAAATGTGTCTGGCATGATCTTGATGTCTCCTCTCCACCTGAGTGAATGTATTACTGCAGTTTAGGCCTGGCTAGAGAATAAATTCAGAGAAGTCACTAAATCAAGGGTTTCACCAATTGAGCCTTCAACACTGCAAGTTAATAGTAGGTTAATTAATAACATAAATTTCTATATATAGTAATAAAACTATTAATAGCACAATGAGTTTGCTACTTACCAGTGGATCTAATTTCAAATATATACTTTTTTTTAATTGAAAAGGTGTATTAGGCACATATGCCTTAAAGGTGACTAGTAATATGTAAATTGACTTCAGCAGTATATGTAGGATGAATAAAATTAAGACCATATCTTAAGCCATTTACACAGATTCCACAAATCCTAATCCATATAACTCACTTACTAGGCTTTTTACTAATGTGATCCTACTCGGATCCTTTTCTTTGTTCCCCCTCCAGCCCTATTTCAGGTTCAAGTGATGCTATAGAAGCAAGTAATAATTTGGTTCTAAAATAGACAGGTGGACCTACAAAAAATAAAATTAAAAAGTCTGAGTTCTAATATTTATGAAAGTGGAAAAGAATTCATAGGGAGTACCAAGACTTGTCAACTAGATAATGTATAAGATAACTGAAACACTTTTAATCATAATATTAGTATAAAACAAAATGTTATGATATATTACATTCCAAATTTATTTGGAATATCCTATATTATCAGAACCAAGCATTCAGAGTTCAGATCTGAGAACAGGATTAAATCAGATTTATATCAATTGGCCTTAGGCTGAAATCCCTGACTCTAAGATCAAGAAAGCAGACTACAGGTCACACTGACACGCTTCATTCTGCTCCTGAGACAAAGGCAGCCCAGAAGCCTGGACATGAAGAGAAGCCAACATATACAGAGGTCCTTAAGGAATTAGTGGCTTTGAAAATAATGAAAATAACGAAAGCCAACATATACAGAGGTCCTTAAGGAATTAGTGGCTTAAGGAAGCCAAGCATTTGCCAGGCTTTATGAGGTTAACAAAAATTATTGCTTTTATCCTACATTTGCCTTAATGAATTTTTTATATTCTGAGATCAAAGATTAGCAAACCAAGGCCATTTCCTGACCCATTTTAGCAATTGGCTCTGGAAAATTTCAAGGTAAGGCTATAAACCAGGGTTGTCAAACTGGCTACACATTAGAATCACCTGATAAAGGTCCTACTCCAGACTGCTGAAATAAAAATATCTGGGGGTAGGGCTGAAAAGCAATGCTGTTAAGAGTAGACAAGAGAGCACTATTTCATTCATGCCACAGTGCCCCCATCCACCAATATGAATCAGACAGCTCTGCCTAGAGAGGAATTTACAGACAATAAGGGAAAGAGATTCCTAAAATTATGTTTTAGGAATATAACATATTCATATTATATTCCTAATAAGAGATAATAAGTGTGTGCATTGTGCACATAGATATATATATCTATATATAAATTAATATGGGAGAGATGAGAGCTTTTCCAGGAGGGCCTCACAGAAGGGCTAAGGTTTGAACTAGATGTAG